GTTCACGTTGAACAGGATTTTGTCCTGAACATGTGAGATCCTGAGAAGAGAAGTGGCCTCTGAAGTTGTAACCTTAGTTGAAGTTTACATCCACTATAGAAGAAGACACAAAACCTTTTTTTTCTCATCGTCTGACATTAAATCAGACGAAACTTTCCCTGTTTCAGGTCAGTCAGGATCACCAACATTATTTCTATTTGATAAACGCCAGAATAATGAGAGAGAGAATTTTTTAAATGACTTTCTTACACTAAGATTACTCTGCCTTCAAACTATCTGTCATGTCTCTGGAAGCTTCTGATTGGTTAACTGACAACATCTGAGTTAATTGGAGGCACACCTCAAACACTCTGCTTGCTTTTGTGACAACATGGAACATCTAAAGAAACAGACAGAGCACAGAAGAGGTATGCTTGTCCACGCCATTGGTAACTGGACAATTAAACTCGGTAGAGTACAAATCTTATCCATGTTCGGGGCAGGTCCAGACCAAGAAGATATCTGGAACCTGGAACCAGAAAAACCTCAGTTCAGCTGGACATGAGATTCCTCTCTGTCCCTCTGAATCCAGCGCTGCAAAACTTTACCTGTGACCTAAATAAATTCTACGTCTGAGAACTGAAGATTTCTCCGGCTTGTTCTTGGGCTTCCAACTAAAGAATCGGGTCTAGCAGAACTGTGGACCTCCACAAGTCTGGTCCATCCTTGGGTACAGCTTCCAGATGCCTGAAGGTTCCACGTTCATCTGTTCAAACAGTTCTATCAGTATAACCACCATGGGAATGTCCAGACGGGTTCTGTGTCCCAGAGATGAAGCGTTCTGGTTGAAATGTGCGAATCAACCCCAGAACAGAAGCTAAAGACCTTGTGAAGATGCTGCTGAAGCTGGTCAGAGAGTCATTATCCACAGTGGAACCAGTCCTGGGCTGGAAGGCTGCTCAGAGAGGAAGAAGACGTCACTCCAGAAACAAACACTGCTGCAGTTTACCAATAAAACACATGAAAACACTCGTCTGTGTCTGGTTTAATTAACATTGTCTGTGTGTTTCACTAACAGCCTGGAAAGACGTCACATCCGGAGATTTCACCGTGAAGATGCTCGACGGNGCTTGTTTTTGTTGTTTCCATCCAGAAGAAAGTATTTGTGTCAAACAAAAGCCACCATAAATCTGAATGTGCTGCTCTTTGCTCCTCCATGTTTCCTGAATGTTTACAGTATGAGACCAAAGTGCACTTTAATGTAGAGGGCGAGTGTTGATTTAACGTTCTGTAAATGTTCTCAGTGCTGGCACTGAAGCTTCCCGGCAGAGAGAGTCGAGCCAGAGAGCCGTTCTTCGAGGACATGCAGCAGATCGTGGAGGAGGTGGTGGACGTGCTGCTGCCGCTGCTGCAGGAGAAGCCGTTCGCTCTGTTTGGACACAGGTAGGTTCTCCTGAGGTTCTCCTGAGGTTCTCCTACAGCCCCGACACTTTATATCTGGGAGTCCTTCGTTCATACTAACAGTAAAATGTGTTTCAGCTTCGGAGCTTTTACAAGCTTCGCTGTTGCAGAAGCTCTGAAGAAGCATCACAACGTGGAACCTGCTCACATGTTCCTGTCTGGAGCTTCTGCTCCTTATGTAAGAACTCACAGGAACACAGTCAGCTTCACTTCAGTCAACACCAACACGCAGGAAGAGCTGAACACCTGGAATGTGGATGTAGCAGC